AGCTGGGGTATAGTAGATCCATTTTAAATATAATACCGCCTTCTACGCTCCCTTCTATCTTGCCCTCCAGATGCGTATGACATCACTTAAGAAGACAATCCGCCATTATGCAGTGGGATGGATACATACATTTGCAAATGAGAAGGTACGGACAAAGACAAGGGAGACTAGAACGGACATGTCCGGCTTAATAGCCGTCACCAGCCAATCATATCCAACCACAAGTATGGATCACTTGAGATTTGAACCCGGGATCTTTGGGCATGGAGTTCGACACTCTACCACTGAGCCACGGGCCCATTGTCCTGTCAGTTGTGATCGGGAATATCAGTTATGACAGATGGGTGCTCACCGATCGGGTTACGGAACGTGCTTGTTCTGTTGTGCTTTGGGACTCATACTAGAACCCTCGCAGACAGTCGCACAGCGACTAGTAATAGATGTAGATGAGATGGTGACGACAGCTTAGTAGAAGTGCAACAGGCCAGACGCAGACAGCCGTTTCACGGTTGCCAACGATCATCAGCACGCCGCAGGCCTCATGAAGTGAGAGACGCATTAACCAGGCGCGCCATCCCCACTGCTGCAGTTAGAATCTTGCTCGATCCTTGACATGTATATGTTCATACACTGAGTGACCGATTTCATGAAATGTTGGTTGAGATTATGAAATGCGTTTTCGATTACGAAGGATTACTTGGTCACGGTTGTAATACTGATTATCTTGCGACATAATCCTATAACATTTCGAACTCGGCAAGATGCCAGCTTTTAAATACACTGTTTTTCAATTTTCCGTAGAAAACGTACTCGGTAAAAAATGACTACTTAAGCAGCATGCATTTTTCCCATTGATTTTCGATGGTTTCGCATATTCAAATATATCTTATAGAAACCATAAACAAAAGTATTCTTTCTTTCAGTCAATTAATAGAGAATCACGTCTTCTTTATATTTTATTCTCAAGGAAGGAGTATAATAAGGTTTTAAAAAAGTTTTTAATGGTGAGATTTTTTAAGACCTCGCAATGTCAACTCACATAGCATTGTACCACGCCGTTTACCACAGCTCCTTATGAAATTTACAACATAGTCCGCATCCACTGCAAAATTTTATGGACTCTGTATGATATCTTTTTGGAGACGTAGAAGCATATGTGATTTTCCTCACTCAGAACTCACGAACCTTGCAGACTGAAATCACTAAGCGCTCATGCAAAGAATGATCAGGCTCCAAATAATTCGGCAATTAGAAAACTTTTTTAAAGCCTTATTATATTTCTTCTCAGAGTATAAAATATAAAGAAGACGGGATTCTCTATTAATTGACTGAAGGAAAGCATATTTTGTTTATGGTTTCTATAAGACATATATAAATATGCAAGACCATCGAAAATCAATTCGAAAAATGTATGCTACTTAAGTAATTATTTTTTTACCGATTACGGTTTCTACAGGAGATTGAAAAGCAGTGTATTCAAAAGCTGACATCTTGCCGAGTCCGAAATATTATAAGATTATGCCGCAAGATAATCCGTATTACAACCGCAGCCAAGTAATCCTTCGTAGTCGAAAACGCATTCCGCAATTTCAGCCACCATTTCATGAGATCGATCACTCACTCTAGAAGGCTTACTTTTTAGACAAGCATGAAATCAAAGTTGTTAACTTAAAACGGTCAGTATATTCATCTCGTAAAGTTTTCTCGTAGAAACCATGAGTTTTAAAAATGCCACCTCGTACTCCCTGATTTTTACGCCTTATTCAGAATAATTATTGTGCGGGTGTCGACTTCTGATAGGGGGCACTGCCGCAAATGCGCTTGACCAGAACGGAAGCCCGTGGCACGCCTTAGACCGAGATCTTTACGCGTCATTAGCCGCTGCGCCCAATCACGTTACCCACTGACTGCCAGACTCGGAGTCTGAAATACCTCCACTAGGGCATCGTACGCGTAAAGTCGCACGCTCAGGCGGGCTGTCTAACTTTGTCAGTCACTGTGCCTACACCCATCTTCAGTCTTTTTGATTTGACCGTGAAATCGGAGCGAGTTGTAAGATTGGAGTGAGTGAGGAAGATACTTCGCAAGTCTACCCTACAGCAAACAACTTCGTGCGCGAGTCATGGTTATTCTCTCATGAGGGGACACGCGGTGGACGTCGCTGCCTACGGGTTAAGTACCAGATGATCCACCCTGCTGGTAGTAAGGAAACTAGCTAAATGCTAAAAATGCGGAATTTTAGATTGTACCTGTGCGTCAGTATTGTAAGCCAGTTAGTATTCTTAAATTACTGACTGCCTATTGGCAGCTGATGGAGTTCAGCCCGAATATTTGTGTATAACCCTTCCAACTGGGCCTAGAACGCTTTGCTCGAACGGTTTACTCCAAGTTCGAGCCCTAATTTCCTAATATATTAAACGAAACAGTATATGCAGGCCATTCAAATAAGCTGAAAGTTTTTATGAAATGTTTCTCAACTGTTTCTTACACTGTTGTAAGGCCTCCCGGTCATTTTGATTGTAAAATAACTCGTGCGTCAGAACGCCTAACTTCAAGTAGTCAGGATTTCATATAAAATGTCCCCATGCAATAACACTGAAGAGTTCTCAGTCCGGTTCTGGTAGCTGAAGCAGGTAGGCCGCTTGTTGTACTGCAGCCTTGTATGCCTCCCTCACGGCTTCCAATCCCGCCGAGGTCACCAAGTTGTTCACAAGTGGTTCAGTTAAAATAAGCTTTTTCTTACATTTGTCCATCATGCATGCTATTAAAATACTGATTTTTCTGGTAGGATTATCAGTGTAAAGCCAAGCATTCCACCCCACTTGTATACTTCCATCTATTTGGAGGCAAATACAATATGAATTTTAGGCATCAGTGCGCTGGAGCGCTTAATGCATGTCTATTTAGAGCATTTTTGATCACTTCAATAAAAAATTTAGCCTCACATCTTTCGGATGACGATGCGATTTGCTATACTGTTATTTTAAAGCACATAATTGCGTGCTGTCGCCCGTTTCACATGTTCGTACCTTGAAAGTGGCGAATTCCCTTTTGGAGGTTTAAAACGCACAACTTATGCATTCGTTCGCTCTGTAGGTAGTCTAAACCACCTGTGATTCGTGAATTGGGTCGCGCCCTAGAACACACCCATCCTTAGAGCGTAAAACCACTGTAAACTTGTGGGTTGTGCCTGCTTTTTGACGTAAATAAGACGGCCGACATAAGTTACTGCGATATTTTTGCAGTCTGTGCAATCCAGGCGCAGTGTGCTGGACGGAGGTGTAACCATCCCGAGTAGAAACCGGTAGTTTCAATTTGTAGGCAGCGCGCGCGCGCGAAAGAAGCTGCCTTTTCCACATTTCTGTGCGTAAACCGCGGTTATTGCGAGGACTCACATAAACCATCTTTGAAATTTGTCTTTGGATTTTTTGAAAACGTATTGTTAGCCTCAAAGCGCAAAGTTGGCACGAAAGTGTGTTTGTCTGGGATTCTAACTGCGTTTTTGAGTATAAAAGCAGTCGTCATAACACCCGTTACTCGACAGTTCGACGTCAGTTTCGACGATGTCCATCGTGTGCACCATGGCAGGGTGGAAGCAGGGACGATGACTTGCGCAGGATTATAGTGAAAGTAGACTTGCGCTGCATCTACCACACTCCCTTCTCCTCCCCCATTTGGGCCCGGTGTGAAGACAGAGTCAACGAGACCGGAGACGGGGGATCGCGCAGGTGGATGGCATGATCGAGTCCGCACCTTGACGTTCCACTCCACACCCCCTGGTCCACACAAAAAATGACCAGGACTTTGACCAACACAACATATATTGGAGGCTGGCACGGTCGAAGCAGCCGCACCTAGGCGTGCCGCCAACACCTGGTTCGGATCCCACACAGTAGGAGTGCCATAAAGGCCACATTAAAAAGGAGCCATTGCAGCCTGACTCTCAGACCTCCAGTCTGGGCGGTCCAAGTTATCCCGTCAGTTGGCAACCTCCCAAGCCACGGCTTTTAGCGTACCGTGATAGCTTCAGGCGCGTCAGATTGTTTATAGTGAGAAGGAAAATGCGCTGAGTCGTCGACCTCACTCTCCCTTCCCATCCCCACACCCCAGCCGCTGTCCGAGCCGGTCAGCAGACAGGAGTGGGAAATGGGCGCGGTGGCTGCCATGGCCGACTGATCATGCCTGCGCGCGCCACATGCACGACCTGGCCCCCAAAAACACAAGCACCAGGATTTCACACAACGGGGGTTGTACGGCGTATCTCTCAAATGCGTGAGAATGCCGTGGAAGGAGCTGTTTCGGTTCTGCTCCCAGCCCGTCAGTCCGCCACTTCACACAGCACACACACACAACTGGACGGACTGCGTGGACCGAGTTGGGACGTCAATCAGCAGCCTTCAAATCCGCGGCGCTTGACGCGTCGGGACAGTCTCAGGCTCGAGTAACCCATGCAACAGGAGCCGCACGGAGACCGAGTCGAGACGCACACTTCCCACTTGCATGGGAAGTGGCAGCTGTATACTTGCGGTGGCTGATGTTGATGTGCGGTGATGTGGTGGTGAGGCAGGATGTGATGGTGTGATGCAGCCGGCGGTTTTCTACCGCAGGTTTTCGTGGATGCGCATGCGGCCGAATAGGCCCATTCGGTTCATGAATGTGCGAGGGCAGTGTGGACAGTGGAGGCGGATGCGGCGGGTGTGTGCGGGTTCTTCAGGCACTGCATTGAAAATGTAGCCGTCCACACTTGCAAATCAGGATGAAACTCCTTGCAAGGCTTCTCCTTTGTAAACCTCAGAAGGCAGATTCTGGTTGTCCCTCCGTTTTCTAAACCTCTTATTTGGCTGGGAATTCAAAGTCCTTTTTTCCGCTTTGTGACAGCTTTGGGATTTTAACGTAATTAACAAAATCAAGGGCTTCTGGTGTGTGCAGGCCAAAAATGTTACTTAATAGGCGATCCAACAGCCCTGATTGGTTTAATTAAAAAGCCAATTGCGAGAAGCTCAGTGGCCTAGACGCTGGTTGCACACAAGCTTTACACTTTCCGTCGTGGCCGCCAAGTTCTTCACGTCTAGGCGGTCGGCTAAATGGTCGAGTAGACATAGCGATCTGCCTACAAACAGTTGAAAAAAGTGGCACAAAGTAATTATTCTATCGGGATTCATGCTACCAAAATAACGATCCTCCTGAAAGGCTGCAAAATTAGTCCAGAATGCCTGTAATCGGATTGAAACTGGAGAGCTCTACTTGGAAAGCGTTTACTGAGAAGGATGGGGACACTGGATTTGTCATTTCTGGTTTATTTGCCGTCGTAATTCAATTGAACTCAGGTCCCGGGTCGCGCATCCGAAACTCGAAACTCGAGTCAACTGATTATCGATTAACGCTTTCACCGCTGTTGTACTGATATCTTTAGTTCTTAAATTCATTACACAGTCGGTAAATTTGGCAGGTATGGCATTTGCTTGATAGGCCGTGGGAATCAAAGATCTGTTCCACTATCAGGTTAGATGGTGGATTTCGACAATGTCCACCGTGTGCTTCACAGCATCAGTGACAGGGAGGACGGTGACTTACGCGTGATAGTAGATTTGCGCTGCGGCTACCGCACTCTCTCCTCCTTCATCCACCCGGATCGGGTGTCATGACCAAGCCGAGAGGACCGGAGGCGAGAAAGGACACAAGTGACTGGCACGGTGTAAACCCGCACATGGGCGTACCACCATTGCCCCTGGTTCACAACGGACACTGACACAACGGACACGTGGTTCGTGGACACATTTAAGAGGGAGCTTGACCAGTGCAGGGACATGTACCTCCACGGCATCAGAAATTAACAAATTTCACCCTTGTACCATCCGCACCAAAAGTTTTACGTTACAACGATTGCTACTCGCTATGTTTAAGTAGCATTATTTTATGACTTTCGTTATCACCTGGCCGAAGCATATACGCTTGCTTCGATATTACTTGGTCCATTCAGTACCGCGTGCTGGTTATTGTACAATTTTGACTTAGAAGGTATTCACAGACAAATTTATACCAGTAACCATTGCTTGTTCTATGTAATTACTTACCTAGTTTTCTTTGACACTTGCCTTACACATTGTTTTTTATGATGTTATTGTAACCAAAAGGGAGTTAAAAGGCGCTCGCCTGCCTTTCCTTTAATAAATCTGACCTGATCTGATCTGACCAGGATTTTATACCCCAATGGCAAACATGGAAGCAGCTCGGATCCCGATCGGCGCGGCGTGAACCGTCCACAGAACCTGACACCGCACCTCAAATGTTGGCGTTTGTGATGGGCATGAATTTCCGATAACGCCTGTAGGACTCTGATTTGGCCCCCATGTTGGTTCAGCGCATCTAGCTGGCGACGAAGCTGGGGGCAAAACTATCAGATAGAACGGCAAATTTTGTACAGTAGTACAAAATTTAGTATAGTACTCACACCTGCCAGAATTCTGTATACAAAGAGGATTACTTTCATTCTAGCCAGAAAACTAGACTGCTTTACTCTGAGAGGTCTCACCTGAAGTGCCCCTCGATCTCATCTTGATAGCGTGGTTGCTGCGATCCAGAAGTGGAGCAGCATTCAATGCCAGTATGAATAAATGCTTGATGAAGACAAATCAAGTTGGAATGACGTTGCTGTACTTACGGGAATAAGCGACCCACGCCGCACATAGGAGCGGATTCAATGGTAAGGTGAGATGTTTGTAGGTCGAAGGCCATAGAATCGGTTCCCACTAACAACCTTGATGTCCCATAAGGCGCAATGAACAAACATGAAGCGAGCTTTATTGTAACTGCAACTATAAGGAAACTTAGTTTGCAAGTCATGCCGAGTAGGTGACAGGTCTAAACGCAGACCCGCAGAATAGCGATCAGACGCGCTTTAAGATCAATTTGGTAGTCAGAGAGGACCTAAAATAGGAAGACCGAACACCGCAGCAAATGAACCGGATTCTTAGGGGAGGTCAATGTACGAAGCTGTAGATAGGAAAAAGTGAAATCCCCTTCATAGGCAAGTCTTCAAAGCGCAATAAGTCCGGTTCCTCTCTTTGAGTTGAATGTTATTTGGCCAAGCGGGAGGTAGTTACCATAAACAGTCATTTCCGATATATGCAAAAGTCACAAAACTTACAAAGGTAGCCTTGTAGCGGTCTACTCAGTCTGGTAGCAACGACCGAACCCGCCCTGCCAGTTGACTGTGCGCACCGCATGTGACTTGGTCCATTAGCTTGTCGATACAGCACGCCGATTAGTATTTATGCTCAACATCATCATCAGCATCGACGGCCAGCACTCGGATTGTCGGGATAATTTTCGTCCTGGCTTGAGTCATCTGCACGCTTCCTGCTACAGTAAAAGTCGTCAAACTAACTCTTTCCCCCCCCCCGACTTTTGATTTGAAAGCAAGGAGCTGACGGTGCTGTTTGAACGGACTGGAGTCACTTTTAGCATGGATCCAGGATGGGATCGTCGCGTCAGTTAAGATAGCTGACGTTCCCGCTCTCCACGGTCGCTCGTCGCGACACTTCCTCTCTGACTCGCTCTCTCCACGGCAGTGCACTTCCAGTGGTCCATAGCGTTCCACTCCCAACCGGTAGTTCTTCAGACATGAGAGAAACACCCATCGATCAGGATGGATCGCATGTTCGACCCTCGGGTGTTCCGCACTTCGGGATTGGGTATGACTGGCTGACGACGGCTAATAAGCCAGAAATGGCCATTCCAGTCTCCCTTGTCTTTGTCGGTAATAACATACTGCCTATATCATACGCCGCTGTGCGGCTGCTGGTTGGGCTCGAGAGAGAGTCCGTAAGGCACAACAGAACGAGTGAGTTCCGTAAGAACGATCGGTGAGCTCCCCCCACCATCATATATATGTGTGTTTGGTGCGATTCTTTGTGACTCTGTACAGCGCTCGCATGGCCAGGAAATGGTCCCAAACGTTTTACTCGAGCGTGTGTGTGTGTGTGTCTTGCATACGGTAGATGTACCAGACCAAAACGGTGGCTAGATTGGAGTCCAGCAGGCGTTGACGGGAATGCGCACCCATGTGATGGCACGTCCAATTGGGATCCCTGCCGTCCCCATCCCTCCTGGTCAATTGTCTGTTGTGGACCAGGGGTGTGGCGGCACGCCTAGGGTCGGCTCTGGCAGCACCAGCCATCTGCACCCTCTTCCCATCGGGTTTTCTTGACTACAGTAGGTGGGCTAACTCATGAAATGTCAACCGAAATTCCGAAATGCGTTTTCGTTTCGCAAATATTAATTCAGTAGGGTTGTAAAACTAATCATCATGCAATATAATTCTATAATATTTCAGTTACCTCAGGACGCCGGCTTTCGAACGAACTTCTGTTCGGTTGCATTAAGAAACCACATTCTGTAAAAAATGACTGCTTGAGTAGCATGGATTTGCCCCTAAAAATTCAATTATATTTCATGTAAAACATGCACAAAAATATTCATTCTTTTTCTTATTCAGTAGAAATTTACATCTTCTTCCACTTTTATACGCGAAGGAAGGGTATTATTCGGTTTCCAAAAACTTTTCCAATTCCAGAATAATCTTGAACCCGCCCTGTCGTTACAATTGCATTCAGAGTTTCCAAACTACAAGCTGTATATTTTCCCCGTATGGCAAACCATACATTTCTCTAGGGTTTTAAGAGGAGACCATATTGGTTTCAAAAAGTTTTGCAGTGGATATGAGCCATATTGTCAATTTTACAAGCCAAATTGGTAAATGCAGAGACCTGACGTTTTATAAACGGCCATTTCACGGTATTAAAAAATCTCACAATTAGAAACTTTTTAAAATCAAATTATACCTTTCCTTCGAGTATAAAATTGGAAGAAGACGTAATTTTCTACTGAATAAGAAAAAGAATGAATACTTTTCCTCATGTTTTCCATGAAATATAATTGAATTTTTAGGGGCATCAAAAATCAGTGGGACAAATCCATGCTGCTCAAGCAGTCGTTTTTTGCAGAGTGCGGTTTCTGAATGCAGCTGAAAAGAAGTTCGTTCGAAAGCCAGCATATTGATGTAACGGAATTATTATAGAATTCTGTTGCATGATGATTAGTTTTACAACCCTACTTAGTTAATATTTTCGAAACGAAAACGCATTACGGAATTTCGGTTGACATTTCATGAGTTAGCCCACCTACTGTTTGTCTTCACGGCGGGCTCAGGTGGGGGAGAAGGACAGCGTGCGACAGATGCAGCGCAAGTCTACAGTCAGTATAAAAGACATCCCGCGCAAGTCACCGTACCTACTCTCACCCTGATGTGGACATCGTCGTTCACGATGCCCGAACATCTTCGTCCGCTGCAGTCAGTTATGACATTGCGACGGCCTCCCTTGAAAAAAACTACAATCGAGCCGCGTTTCCTGTCGAAGGCTCCCACACTCATTTTCGGCAAACCTCTTTTTGCAAAGACGACAATTCACATGCTGTCGCAGACGCAACCCTCGAACAGTGTTGGTGTACGTGAGTCAGTCTACCTGGAGTTTCGGCACACACGAGTGCGTTTATAGGTAGTTATAAACAGCTCTTTGTCTCTGAGGTTATTGAAATTATTTACTTGCTTATATTTAACCTAGACCTAGAAGTTCATAAATTCCTCATCACATGGCAGCCTTTGTCGCTGCAAATCGGGTATTTTCTCATAAAGTAATGACAATAGGCCGATCCGTTGATTAGCTGAAGCAAACAAGCTACGAATGAGCGACGGAGGTCATGGAGAGATCAATTAGTCACGATTATCATTAACTGAATAAATACAGAATGAACCTTAAACAGCTCTGTGCCGATCTTTCACATTATCCGTCGCAACTTTCTCTAGTGTCATAACTGAATTTAGTTCGGTCTGGTCAACAGTTGCCTGTTCGTAACCTCTGCCATCTATCCGGAGCTTGTTTGTTTCGGAGCGTGTATTCTCACTTATTGTTAGTACCAAAATCGGCAGGAAACTTATCACACGCATAGGCTTATACTCATTTTCAAATCAACATTCTCTTAAGACATCAATTCGACTTCAAAACATCCTTGAAAACCCAGCGCTCGGTGTCTTATTGTGAACAACGGCAGTTCACTCAAACTGTTGTGCTATCTTACCGTGGATGCATAAAATCCACCCACTGGTTAATTCGCGCATGCGTTCTCGCTTTTTCTTGATAAAATGTCATATAATAGAATAATAACAGACACGAACGCTCAATAACAATGTTGTTGTTTTGTCAAAACGACTCTTTGCTTTTCGAACGAAGCTACCAGTTGGATTAAGAATTGTTAACGGACACACGGACGTAAAGTTTCATCTATGGACAATTTTAGGGACTTGATCATTCTGTGTTCCTTCGTGGATACATATTCTGGAACCCGAACAGACGTGAAACCGACCCGGCCAGAACAATACCGGTAGGCTGCTTTGTCACGCACGTGACTCCGACGCGTCCCACGCCCCTCCAGACAAATAATTCGTGATCGGGTTTTATTATCCTATTTTTGCTGTTCCAGTATTTTAGACGCTGCTAACTTCTGTTTGTTTATTTTGTAGATTTCGTTGGCTGTCTACAGAGGGTACTCTCGCTATTTCACTCATTATCATTGTTAGGTAGGCCACTTGTTGGCATACTTTTAGTAACTGGGCTGATCCTATTCTTGGATTGTTCTATTGTTCCACAGCTCACTTGAAACTGCACAGTTCTCAGACAAAACTGCCAGCTACAGTGTTATATGAATCGTGTCACTATCGCCATATGCTGCTTGGAAGCTGTTTCGGGGTAACTTCCATTAATATTTTAATTCTTCGGTTTAGTTGCGTTTGTCTTTCTTAATCCCAATTGTCTACGGGGCCAAAATGCCTTGAACGGGGCTATGGTGCACACTTGCGAGCTGTTCGTCTTCTGTTTTTAACATAATTGACCAATTTTACTGCACGTTTTCCAGTAAAGATAGGGCAAGTACTTTCCCTGAGTAACAGCAAACTCCTTTCCGTTATTTATTTTTCAGATGACCGGAGGTGGATGGGACCAACCGTCGAATTCTCAGCCATTTGACCTGCATCCTACGAGACAACAGTTACCGCATCGAGTGCATTCAGTTCTGTAGAGGAAATGTGGACTTAGAAACTACAAACAGCAATATATGCAGAAAAAAACTAACTCCGAATGGGGGAATTGTGTTTACCAACAAAAAAATGTACAGATTGAAAGAACCAGAAAAGGAATGTTCCAGACTCACGTAAAGTAGAATCCTATGAAGTAGAGAGATAGTGTCCCGATGAAGAACTGGTTGAAGGGAGGCTCTAGGTTCCGCGATGGTACGTTGAAGTCGGCTTCGAGGAGGAAGTCTCCGTCAGCACGTACGAATTGCTAAGAGTATTGAGAGATGACAAGCGAACGCCAAGAAATAACGACGTCAAACACTCTCGAAACCAGAACACATGTTGACCGCCGTAGCGTTGTTAATGTGTATTTTTCGTTTTGTCAAACAAATGTACAGGCAGGTCAGGTGTACAAGAAAATGTAGTGAAACAAATCAAAAGTGTACAAAAGCCTACACAACTCCCCCCACCAGAGCGTTTGCCAAAGAAACAAAACGCTCGATAAAATAAAACGGGAAAAAAATACACTACAAACTCTTTAAGTCTGGCGGGAAAACGGATATGTCTACCGGAGCGAGATGAAATAGGCAGTCGTGTAGGAGGAGGATCCGGTTGGGTGGGTAGAATGGTCAGGTTTGGTGATGGAGGGAAGGTGAGCGGAGTGGGCGTATCGGGAGAGGACGTAGTAGGGGGAATGGATGGCGCACTGGTCGACGGGAGGCACTCCAGATAGGCTGGCTTAAGGCGGTCGATGGAGACCGTGTCAGTCTTATCAGCCTTTTGAAGGACGTAAAACTTGTCACTCCGCTTAACGACCTTATATGGGGCATCGTAGGGAGAACAAAGGGGCTTGCGCACTGCGTCATTCCGGACGAAAACAAAGGGGGCGGATTTAAGGTCCTCGTGTACAAACACGTGTTTCGAGGTCAGACGAGTGGGGGTTGGACGCAGTTGAGCCATGCGTTGTTTCAACTGCTGTACGAAGGTGCTCGTGATGTTAGTGTTTGTTGTGGAAGGCTGCACAAATTCGCCGGGCAGACGGAGGGGTGTACCGTACACAAGTTCGGCGGCAGTGCATTGGATGTCCTCCTTGACAGAAGATAGGATGCCCAAAAGCACAAGAGGGAGTTGACACTCCAAGTAGCTGACTCTGTTTGGGACATCAGTGCGGACTACAGTTGGCGGTGTAGACGCTCAACGAGACCGTTGGAGGCAGGATGGTATGCCGTGGTTGTGATTTGCGCGCACCCGAGCAGTCTAGTGAACTCACGGAAGAGGCTAGATTGGAATTGACTTCCGCGGTCGGTGGTAAGTGTGGCTGGCACACCAAAAGTTGAGATCCAGTGGGTCAGAAAAACCATGGCGATATTTTCTGCCGAGGTATCCGAGCTAGGAACGGCAATCGGCCATCGTGTGAAACGGTCAACGGCCGTCAGGATATGTGTGTACCCACGTGAAGGGGGTAACGGTCCGATTAAATCCAAGTGACCATGATTAAATCGAACATCCGGGACCGCAAAGGTACTTGGAGGGGAGATAGTGTGTCGATGAACCTTGTTCTTCTGGCATGCGAGACACTGTTTGGTCCAAAGAGTAATGTCGGAATTCATCTTCGGCCAAACAAAACGAGCCGCGATTAACTTACGTCCAGCGCGAATGCCAGGGTGGGAGAGGGAGTGAAAGTGGTCAAAGACGACCTTACGATAGGATAGTGGAACAACAGGACGAGGGGTGCCTGTGGACCAATCGCACAAAATCGTACCTGGTGACGCAGGAAGTGGTGCATCTCGAAGTTGCAGAGTAGTAGACGTACGTAAGTCCGCGATGGACTCGTCTGCTGTTTGGAGGTCTGCAAGCCTCGCCAGGTCGAAATCGGATGTGAGTGTGTTGATGTCCGGACGGGATAATGCATCAGCAACGACATTGTCGCTGCCTCGGACGTAGCGGATGTCGGCAGTAAACTGCGAAATAGAGTCCAGGTGACGAACTTCCCTGGGCGAGTACAGATCTGGCTTGGCCTTCAGGGCGTAAGTGAGAGGCTTGTGGTCGGTGTGGACCGAAAAGTCTCTGCCCTCTAAAAGGTGTCGAAAGTGACGTATGGCCAAGGAGACGGCAAGGAGCTCGCGAGAGAAAGTACTGTAGCGAGTCTGCGCCGGCTGTTGCTTCTGTGAAAAGAAAGCTAAAGGCTGCAACTGGTTATTCACCTGTTGATGCAAGACTGCGCCGACAGCACTGCTGGAAGCGTCGGTGGTCAAAATGAGCTGTGCATGAGCGTCAGAGCTGAGGTGGTGCAGCATGGTGGCGTCGGCAAGAGCCTTTTTTGCTTCCTCAAAAGCTGTATGGGCTGCCGGTGAAAGTTCAATAGGTTTTGCTTTCGACTTCAAAAGGTAAGTCAAGGGAGCCAGGATTGCCGCACAATGGGGAATAAAACGTCTGTAATAGTTGATAAGGCCTATGAAACGTCGCAGCTGAGTGAGTGTGTTGGGAACAGTTCCGGGCTACTGTCTCCTTCCCTTCATTAAAAAATTACGCCAACATTACTGTTACAGCATTTACTTCCTCTGCTATGCCCTGTTCCCGGAACCACTGGTCAGATTTCACTCATTAAAACTTAGGTAGCTGGTGTAGGTACAAGATCCGGTGACACTACTGAAGTGGTGTCTGTCTCAGCACTTAGAAAATGGCTTCTGCTGAGTTTCAGCTTTTTCAAAAACGGACCTTACTTTATGATCGTTGGTTAGTCAGGATCGAAATTGATATTCTCTTCTCTAGACAGTATGCAGAGGATAAGATCATGAACTTCGGGTACGCTTAAGGGACAGACTGTGCTCTTCAGTTGGACGACTTTATCAAACCAACATAAATGACAGATTTTTGAGGTCGCTGACGAAAAAAGAAGATTAAGTAACCAATCACTGACCAACAGACATAATTTCATATCAACAACTTGCTGAAGAATGGAACAAATTTTCAGCCTGATTCGTCTTGGCAGAAAACATTCAAAACTTCGAATAAAACTGTTTGGTGCCTACCTGCACCAACCTGACCGGATAAAAAAACCCCACGCATCATGCAAATGCATATCTGTTTCGACAAAAGTGTGTTTTGCCAATTGTGTTTATGTGCAAATTCATCACTATGAGGATCGACAATGTTAGTCATTTCGGCATTCCTTCCCGCAAATATATAAGCATGTTTTTGTTCTTCGTCTTTGATTTCTCATACTATTTCCCGTTCTTTGCTGTTCTTCCGAATATTTTTCCGTATTTTGAGTCCCATATTCTCTCCAACACCAGTTTTCACGATGTTTTGCGGATTCGTGGACGTTACTGATTGCACTAATGACCGCATTTGCATTCAGAATCATTGAGCTTTGACTCATTTGCATACCCAAAACGACTAGCTTCGGTGTCTCATACAAGCACGCATGCTGGTCAGCAAGGAATAAAAGTCAGCAGTCTTATAATATTTATACAAGTCCCTCGTTGTACACACAAGTTGCAATATTTCCTAATTTTATGCCGTGTCCACGTTAGTACTCGGTTTGAGTTGTGTGCCATTCATAAATGTTTCCGGAGCTGACTACTGATTGATCATGTGATGGGCTGACGGCCATAGCCCATCCAATTGTCATGCAATTGTGTTTGAATCGTTCAGATGGCAAGACACGTTTTCGAATACTTTTTTATCCGCTACAGTTTTCCTTCCTATATAAAAATCGTAATTACGTTTCCTTACTTTTCGTCTCTTCATGTTGTCGTATTACTCATCGTGAAGATTATTCCCCATTTTTATCTCGTTCTGTTCGACTTCTCGAAAGAGGGGATTTGGATAGACTTAAGCTAGCGAATATATTCGCCTTTACTGGTTCTGTTTTAACTCCTTTTCTACGTAACTACACTATAAAACGTCCGAGACAATGCAACCGCCTCCCTATTTTATGTATCTGTTCGTACGTTTTTCAAGGCGTGAGTGCTTTCGTTTTCCTAATATCCCTTACTAAGTTGTCTGCGAAAACGCTACTTGATACCTAACGCACCTAAGTTAAGAAAGTCCTCTTTGCGGGGCATTAAGGCTTCAACACTTATAGCAATTGTTGAACTTCGTTGTTATTGTTATTCGCGAATGAATAGTATTTTTTAGCGAGTGGGGCAGTTTATTATTTTTTGGATGATCCATTCCTTCCGCGTGGGGTACTCCAAAGCTGGTCATTGTGATGTCCTCATTATCAGGATGTGCACGCAATTTTTTGTTCCGACACAGAACCGAACTGGTATTTCGCAAAACCTGTCGGTGCTTTTTCGTCAATCGTTAGTAGAGATGTGTAGGGAAGTCTGTTTACTCTAGCAGTTTGACAGGTTTTGGAAACCTCTTTCAAACGTACCGACGACACAGACTCATATTGTATGCCCCATAGAGCCATATGGGTGTACAGTAGGTGACAAAATCGATGTTGGCTCTTTCATATGAAGGGACCTAAATTTGCAAAAAAGTGCCAAAAACTCGGAATCCAACTCAAACGGATCTCACGAACCGCCAAATTAAAAATGAGCCCCTTCAGTTAATTGAAAGCAGAAATGCGGAAAACGAAGACATCCAAGTCAGATGTGTAAATCAAATCTGTGTAAGTACATAAAACATGCCTCTGTAAACAACCAAATAAATAAAACAATAGGGACATTATCCCTAAAAAGGTTTTTTAGACGATCCTCGGAGAGTAATATGCGGTACTGTTACCATTCGACTGTTTACTGTTTGACGGCGTCCTTCAGAATGGTACGCTAGACTGGGAGTCTGGATCTTCCCACGTTTACACTGCTCACCATGCGGTTAACCATGCCCGAAATGCTTTTTTTTCATTTGTTGAGGGAAAGGCTTGCAGGTGGTCAGTGACAAGAAAATAAAATATCGCTGTCAGTTTCATGATAGACAAACAGTCTTCTGTGTATGATGTCAATTTATCTGTCGTAAAAATACCATATCCTTTCAGACCGCACTTGACTTTGTCAAGTTGTTAAATGTTTAGATATTTCCTAATATTCTTATTCAACCGCCCGAAAAGATAGTCGCCGTCATTTTTGTTTATCGAAACTTTCACAATTATACGTTTCGTGGAGGCTTCCATCTACTCCATGACTGCTAAGATACTCCAAAGGGTTTACTCTTATTTTTGGTTGTCGGAACACCTACTTTCTTGAAACAGGGTTTTTCTCCACTCGGCTATCTCGGAACCTCCGAGTCTCGTCTTATATTCGCGTCTGTCGCCTTACTGCGAACCCTTAATCTTCGCATGTTAATTTTATCGAGTATTCTTTCGCGAATTAGTGTTTATAAGTGAACGAATAAGATTTCTTCGTAACCTATTCTCATAAACAGTTTATCTGCCTTTTTACCTTCCGAAGTAAAACGTATGGAGTGGGTACACGTTAATAATTATTATCATTTTTACCTGTACGTTCATCGTGTTAGACATACCATCGACGTGGAATATGTTCTGAAAATGATCATGCAAAGCATTCGCAGATTTGGAAAATTATAAAATCTCCCGTTAACACTTTCGCCAAAGTTAATACGCCGTAAATGCAACGCCCGTTTGCTCATCATTTTGTCCCTTGAATCGTTAATTGCAAGTACATTGCAATGAAAAGTTGTTCCACAGCCTCGTGAAAAATTCTTTTATACATTTATACGATAACACTTGTCAAAAGTTTCACCTAAAGGGGTATTTTACGGATACCTATACGAATTCCTTGGATATCAATTTTCTTTTCTCAAAGATGACAGTTTCACGTGCGCGTGGCGTTTTTAATTCTTATACCCTGAGTCGGTCTGGTGCGAGGATCAGGTTTATGCATTTAAGCAGCCCGTTTGCCCCCACAAACCCATGCTCTTCATCCTTACTCTCAATCAAAAATTGAGTATGTCAGCTGTTTATGTCATTTATCAATTATTTGGCGCAAACCCCTCCAGCCTTTTCCGCATTATCTTTGTCTTCAGAAACGTGAAACGCTTAAGCTGATATGATCGTCGGATTTTGGATTTTTGCTGCATACATAGCTATAAAACATTTGCAATTTGCTTGATAGTCTCACTTTTCTAACAGTTGGCCTTAGAGTCGTGTTTTTTCTCCTCCTGGGTAACCTCGACAGTTCCCTGTTTCCATACAAGTGCCAGAGCTTTGGCAATTTTTACTACGAAAATGTTTCAAAAAATCTGGACACTTGTTCCGCCCAGTCGAAAATAATGTCCGAAGTGCAACATAGGATGCGATTAAGTGCAATCTATCCTACTTTTCCAGTTTCTCAATCGATTCTAATATGCTTTTCAGCACTTAGCTGCCTTTCGTCGGAAAAGACTGAATTTTTGTATTCATTTTAACTAAAGAGGCAATTCCTATGTAAATAGATTTTTACCAAGCCTTTTTGAATCGTCTGTTTCGTAATGATTATATAAAATGATTATAGGAATTTTACATCGAAGATCATAGGGCTAAATAGGTCGTGAAACCTTTTATCCCATTTTGTAAATGTCGACATTCACCAATTTGTCGTGAAGAACTGTAGTGACCACTGTGTTTAGCAAGCACTTCTTTAAAGCGTTCGGTCACATTAATTTAAGACATCGTCTGATTAGAGGCACTTGACTGAGTAACACATTTTGATCAGCCCACGACACATAATAGTCGAAGAAGCACAGTTCCGCCTAATTTGCCATTATGGCAGTTCTGAGGAATGACAGCAATCGTTTGTAGTTCGGAGTCCAATGAGGTTGAGCCCGGGGACATGATCACTGTTTTAAATTCCATAGGCAAATGCAATTCCCGGTAAAAGATGTCACTTAGTTTTCTCAAAATAGACAGTCAAAATCTTACGCCTTGCTTAAATATTCATTTTTAAGGTTGTGGCTACTTGAATCGTAAAAAGCGCATAGATTTTCGGCACTTTGTAATTTGGTACGAGCGGGTTTCTTGATCTGGCTCACAAAGAATTTCAATTATTTCGAAATTTATTAACTATTTCACTACTTTCAGGTTCTCCCTCTATAGAAACAAGCGAAAAACTATTAAAGTACCCCCGAAGAACCTGAACGAGCGATAACAAAAAACGCTAGAAAATATGCGTACACCATTTTACTGGTTTTGTGCTCTAAGTGAAGTTGTCGAATGCGACGTGTTTGTGCACTAAAGTTCCTTCATAACACTCTGTTAGACTTTACAGTGTCATCACCCACGTTTTCGAACACTGACACTGGGGAAGCTGTACTTCTTCAGGAAGAAGCCTATGTCAGTTGCTAAGGG